GGCGCCTTCTCCTTCTCGCCCTCCTCCTCGCCTCCTTCCCGTACCCCTCGTTTCCCCCCCCCCCCCCCTTCCCTCCCCCCTCTCCCTCCGCCGCATTCCGCCCCCCCTTTCCGAGACCCCCAACGCCGTGACTGTCACGCAGCCGAGGGTCCACAGAGGTCCCGACCCTTCCCCCCGGGACTCGTGAGTCAGCCCCCGTCGCTTCTGGATGCCCGGGCTCCGTGAGGGCCCGCTTCGTTCTGTCCAAGCCCTCCTGCGTTGGGCTCTCGTGTTGACTAGAGCGCTGTGGTCTCCACTCCTCCTCCCTCCTCCCCCTCCTCCTGCCTCCCGCCTCCCACCTCCTGCCTCCTGCCTCCTCCTCCCTCTCTACCTCCTCCCTCCTCTCGCTCGTCCTGCCTGCGACGCCTGGCCTCTTTCGTGCCGGGCTCTCCCTGTCGCCAATGTCTTGGGTTCTTGGGAGGTGCAGCGGAGTCGGTAGTCACGTGCACTACGTCGCACTACGTCAACCCTCGCGGCTCCCTGCGTGACTGCGAAGTCCGCAACTCTCGTCATTTTCGTGGGCTCCTGGGGGGTCCAGCGGAGTCGGTACGCACACCACGTCGAGACCTCGCGGCTCCCTGCGCGGCTGCGAAGTGTGCAATTGTCGTCACTTTCGCGGGCTCCTGGGAGGTCCAGCGGAGTCGGTAATCACGCACACCACGTCAAGACCTCGCGGCTCCCTGCGTGGCTGCGAAGTGCGCAATTGTCGTCACTTTCGCGGGCTCCTGGGAGGTCCAGCGGAGCGCAGTGGTACGCAGACCCAGTTGGGACCTCGCGGCTCCCTGCGTGGCTGCGAAGTGCGCATTTGTCGCCTCTTTCGTGGGCTCCTGGGAAGGCGTGCGGAGTGGCGTTGTACGCAGGCCCAGTTGGGACTTCGCGGTTCCTTGCGTGACTGCGAAGTGCGCTTGTGTTGTCATTTTCGTGGTCTCCTGGATTGTCCAGTTGAGTGGAGTGGTACGCAGACCCAGTTGGGACTTTTGCAGCTCTTTGCATGGCTGCGAATTGCGCAATTGTCGCCACTTCTGTGGGCTCCTGGGAAGGCGTGCGGAGTGGCGGTGTACGCACGCCCAGTTGGGACTTCGTGGTTTCCTTGCGTGGCGTGTCGCTACTTTCGTGGACTTCTGGGAGGTCCAGCGGAGTGCAGTGGTACGCAGACCCAGTTGGGACCTCGCGGCTCCCTGCGTGGCTGCGAAGTGCGCATTTGTCGCTTTTTCGTGGGCTCCTGGGAGTTCGCGCGGAGTGGAGTCGTACGCAGACCCAGTTGGGACTTCTCGGCTCCTTGCGTGGCTGCGAAGTGCGCATTTGTCGCCACTTTCGTGGGCTCCTGGGAGGTCGCTCGGAGTGGCGTTGTACGCTGGCCCAGTTGGGACTTTGCAGCTCCTTGCGTGGCTGCGAAGTGCTCATTTGTCCATTTTCGTGGGCTCCTGGGAGGTTCAGCGACGGGCTCTTGGGAGGTCCAGCGGAGTGCAGTGGTACGCAGACCCAGCTGGGACCTCGCGGCTACCTGGGGGGCTGAGAAGTGCGCAATTGCCGTCATTGTCCTGGGCTCCTGGGAGGTCGCGCGGAGTGCAGTGGTACGCAGGCTAAGTTGGGACCTCGCCGCTCCCTGAGGGGGTGCGAAGTGTGCAATTGTCCCCACGCTCGTGGGTTCCAGGGAAGGCGCGCGGAGTGCACCGGTGCGCAGACCCAGTTGGGACCTCGTTGCCCCGTGGGGGGGGGGTGCGAAGTGTGCATTCGCTACTTTCGTGGGCTCCTGGGAGGTCGCGCGGAGTGGAGTGGTACGCAGGCCCAGCTGGCACCTCGCCGCCCCCTACGTGGCTGCGAAGTGCGCATTCGTCGTCATTTTCGTGGGCCACGTTCGGTGGCTCCTGGGAGGTTGCGCGGAGTGGGGTCAATGGGGGTCAGTTGGGGCCTCGCGGCTCCCTGGGGGGGCTGCGAGGTGCGCACTTGTCGGGAGGTCGCGCGGAGTGGAGTGGTGCGCAGGCCCAGTTGGCACCTCGCCGCCCCCTACGTAGCTGCGAAGTGCGCATGTGTCGCCACTTTCGTGGGCCACTTGCGTGGGCTCCTGGGAGGTTGCGCGGAGTGGAGTCAATGGGGGTCCAGTTGGGGCCTCGCGGCTCCCTGGGGGGGCTGCGAAGTGAGCAATATTGTCGCCATTTCCGTGGGCTCCTGGGAGGTCGCGAGGAGTGGAGTTGTTCTGGGATCCAGTTGGGACCTCGCGGCTACTTAGGCGGCTGCGAAGTGCGCAATTGTCGCCACTTTCGTGGGCTCCTGGAAGTCGCTCCAGGGATCCAATTTGGACTTCGCGGCTCCTTGGGGGGAGTGCGAAGTGCGCAAGGGTCGTGATTTTCGTGGGCTCCTGGGAGGTCGCGATGGGGGGGACTTCGAAGTGCGCATTTCTCGCCACGTTCGTGGGCTACTGGGAGGTCGCGCGGAATGGAGTTGTACAGGGGTCCAGTTGGGACCTCGCGGCTCCCTGGGGGACTGCGAAGTGAGCAATTGCCGCCACTTTCGTGGGCTCCTAGGAGGTCGCGCGGAGTGGAGTTGTACGGGGATCCAGTTGGGATCTCGTGGCTCCTTGGGGGGCTGCGAAGTGCGCAATTGTCGCTTTTTGTGTGGGCTCCGCGGAGTTCGCGCGGAGTGGAGTGGTACGCAGCTCCAGTTGGGACCTCGCACCTCCTTGGGGGGGGGCTGCGAAGTGCGCATTTGTCGCCACTTTCGCGGGCTCCTGGGAGGTCGCGCAAAGTAGAGCTGTACAGGGATCCAGTTGGGACGCGGCTCCTTGTGGGGGGCTGCGAAGTGCGCATTTGTCGCTATTTTCGTGGGCTCCTGGGATGCCGCGCGGAGTGGAGTTGTATTGGGATCCAGTTGGGACCTCGCGGCTCCTTAGGGGGGGGTGCGAAGTGTACAATCGTCGCCATGTTCGTGGGTTCTTAAGAGGTTGCGCGGAGTTTAGCTGTACTGGGATCCAGTTGGGGCCTCGCGGCTCCCTGGGACGGCTGCGAGGTGCGCACTTGTCGGGAGGTCGCGCTGAGTGGAGTGGTGCGCAGGCCCAGTTGGCACCTCGCCGCCCCCTACGTAGCTGCGAAGTGCGCATGTGTCGCCACTTTCGTGGGCCACTTGCGTGGGCTCCTGGGAGGTTGCGCGGAGTGGAGTCAATGGGGGTCCAGTTGGGGCCTCGCGGCTCCCTGGGGGGGCTGCGAAGTGCGCAATAGTGTCGCCATTTCCGTGGGCTCCTGGGAGGTCGCGAGGAGTGGAGTTGTTCTGGGATCCAGTTGGGACCTCGCGGCTACTTAGGGGGCTGCGAAGTGCGCAATTGTCGCCACTTTCGTGGGCTCCTGGAAGTCGCTCCAGGGATCCAATTTGGACTTCGCGGCTCCTTGGGGGGAGTGCGAAGTGCGCAAGGGTCGTGATTTTCGTGGATTCCTGGGAGGTCGCGATGGGGGGGACTTCGAAGTGCGCATTTCTCGCCACGTTCGTGGGCTACTGGGAGGTCGCGCGGAATGGAGTTGTACAGGGGTCCAGTTGGGACCTCGCGGCTCCCTGGGGGACTGCGAAGTGAGCAATTGCCGCCACTTTCGTGGGCTCCTAGGAGGTCGCGCGGAGTGGAGTTGTACGGGGATCCAGTTGGGATCTCGTGGCTCCTTGGGGGGCTGCGAAGTGCGCAATTGTCGCTTTTTGTGTGGGCTCCGCGGAGTTCGCGCGGAGTGGAGTGGTACGCAGCTCCAGTTGGGACCTCGCACCTCCTTGGGGGGGGCTGCGAAGTGCGCATTTGTCGCCACTTTCGCGGGCTCCTGGGAGGTCGCGCAAAGTAGAGCTGTACAGGGATCCAGTTGGGACGCGGCTCCTTGTGGGGGGCTGCGAAGTGCGCATTTGTCGCTATTTTCGTGGGCTCCTGGGATGCCGCGCGGAGTGGAGTTGTATTGGGATCCAGTTGGGACCTCGCGGCTCCTTAGGGGGGGGTGCGAAGTGTACAATCGTCGCCATGTTCGTGGGTTCTTAAGAGGTTGCGCGGAGTTTAGCTGTACTGGGATCCAGTTGGGACCTCGCGGCTCCCTGGGGGGCTGCGAAGTGCGCATTTGTTTCCACTTTCGAGGGCTCCTGGGAAGTCGCGACGAGAAATTCAACTGACGACAAGTACTCGCATCCAGAATGGCAGCGGTTCCCACAGCGCGTGTCGCTGTCCCGTCACGCAGAGCTCGGCGCTGTCGCATCGCAGCTCGCAGGGAGCTTCTGCGCCACGCAGCGCATGGCGCTGTTTTTTTTTGTCCGCGTGGCCTCCCATCCTCAGCTGCCTCTGGCCCGCCATGCCACCCCGCGCGCGTGCCTCGCTCAGCGCGACGCGCTGTTGTGCTACAGAGCGAGCGCACGGCGCTGGTCTATCCCGCGTATGTAGCCTTCGGCGTTGCTGCAGCTCCCGAACACGGTTCTGTGTCCTCTCCCTTTTTTCCGCTCCTCGTCCTCGGCCCCAGGCAGCATAGACAGTCGCGCTCGGCCCTCGCCATTCCTGACCCCCTCGGGGCCGGCCTCGGGCATCGGCACCCTCACGGAGCGACTCAGGATGCGGAGCCGGCCCTGGGGCGGGGGGGCGCGGGGTCCAGGGGCCCGCGCCGCGGAGGGAAGGGCCCCCCGCTCACCCTTAGGCGCGTCCTCGCCCTCCCTGCAGGGCCTCCCGCGGCCCGAGGAACAGCAGAGACCACCGCCACCGGGAGCCCGTCGGGGCGGGCCCACCCCTGGGCGGCATGCGCGCCGGAGCGTCGAGCGGCGCTGGGGTGATGTTCGGGCGTGTCGGCGCCCCCTCCTCCTCCTCCTCCTCCTCCTCTTCCTCCTCCTCCTCCTCCTCCTCCTTCTCCTCCTCCTCCTCCTCCTCCTCCTCCTCCTCCTCCTCATCCTCCTCCCCCTCGATGGGCTCTCGGTCGCCAGTGGCCTCCGTTTTCCTTATGGCACGCGGGAGAGCGGAGGCGCGCCCCCGGCGCCCGGCTACGGCGCGCACCCAGGCCCCGACGCGCCGCGCCTGCTCGGGGAGGTGGAGGAGGAGGAGGAGGAGGCGGAGGAGGAGGAGGAGGAGGAGGAGGAGGAGGAGGAGGAGGGGGAGGCGGAGGAGGAGGAGGAGGAGGAGGAAGGAGGAGGAGGAGGAGGAGGAGAGGAGGAGGGAGGAGGAGGAGAGGAGGAGGAGGAGGAGGAGGAGAGGGAGGAGGAGGAGGAGGAGAGGAGGAGGAGGAGGGAGGAGGAGGGAGGAGGGAGGAGGGAGGAGGGAGGAGAAAGGAGGAGCAGCAGAGGAGGAGCGAACACTTGGAGGATCGACGCTTTCGGGCAGCGTTTGGCCCTTTGTGTGCAGCCGCTCCGCGCCTGGCCCTGCGGCGAGCGGGCCCGGCTTCTCCCTCTCCCACCCCCCGCCGCCGCCGGGCGCCTCCTCCTCCACCCCCTTCTCCTCCTCTTTCGGGGCTCAAGAGACGGGGGTCAATGCAAACGGGGATCAGCCAGAGCGCCGGATCTTGCAGGGTCTTGCAGGGCCAGTGTCGCATTGACCCGGGCTTGGGCGCAGGATGTCGCAGGATCCTGCAGGATCCTTCGCGTTGACCTGGGTGGATCCTGCGGGATCCTGCAGGATTCTGCAAGGCCTGACTGACCAGGGTCTGGATTGACCCGGGTCAGAAGGTCCCCAACTCTTGCATGGTGGCCTGCGTTCCGTGCACCACACCACGCTTCTCGCGCCAGCGCAGTGGCTCTGCCCAGCCGCCGACGCAAAATTGTGTGCGGCTTCTGGGAGGCCTCCCGCGGCCACGGCGAGGTCTGCCTCGGAACGGTGGTGGCCCAGACGCACCCGAGACATGGGTCCCAGGGCGGATTTGTGCCCTCCGAGGCAAGACCCCTTCGCGTCGTGGACGAGACGCGGCAGACTGTGTTTGAGAAGTTTCTGCCTCCAGGGGCGTTTGCTGGGCCCCAGGACCGTCAAAAGCGCCTCAGGATGAAGAGCATGCCCTGGGTGAAGGGTCCGTACCTCCAGCGCTTCAAGCTGCAACACAAATCACGACGTCCGGGTCTTGGGTGGGGGGAGGAGGAGGGGGCATCCCTTGCCTGAGGTTTACTTGAACGAGGGTTGTTGGTTGGCCCTGGGCTCGTCTAAAGGTGTTTCCGACGCTCCCTGCAGGCCTTTTGCTGTCATGCTGCAGGCGGCGGGCGTTGTAATTTGATGACGCTGCCCGAATGAATGATAGTTGGAATGAGGAGCCTGGAGGTCCGAAGCATCGATTTTTATATATGGGGTCCCTAGAAGTCCCGACTCCTTCCCCCAGGCCAGCTTTTCGTCCTGAGCAGTTTCTTGACAGTGCCAGAGTCCGATGCGGGCTCCCAGAGGCACAACTTTACAAACAATTATCCCAGTGCGACCCTACCTAGGAGTTGGAGCCCCTAGGAAAGCAGCATTAGTAGTAACAGTAAAGCTAAGCTAAAGCTAAACTAAAGCAAAACTAAAGCTAAGCTAAAGCTAAGCTAAGGCTAAGTTAACACTAAGCTAAAGCTAAGCTAAAGCTAAGCTGGAGCTAAAGCTAAGCTAAAGCTAAAGCTAAAGATAAGCTACAGCCAAGTTAAAGCTAAGCTAAAGCTAAGCGAAAGCTAAGATAAATATAAGCTGAAGCTAAGCGAAATCTAAGCTAAAGCTAAGCTAAGGCTAAGCTAAAGCTAAGCTAAAGCTAAGCTGAAGCTAAGCTGAAGCTAAGCGAAAGCTAAGCTGAAGCTATGCTAAAGCTAAGCTAAAGCTAAACTAAAGCTAAGCGAACGCTAAGCTAAAGCTAAGCTGAAGCTAAGCTAAAGCTAAGCTAAAGCTAAGCTAAAGCTAAGCGAAAGCTAAGCTAAATCTAAGCTGAAGCTAAGCGACATCTAAGCTAAAGCTATGCTAAGGCTAAGCTAAAGCTAAGCTAACGCTAAGCTGAAGCTAAGCTGAAGCTAAGCTGAAGCTAAGCTAAAGCTAAGCTAAAGCTAAGCTAAAGCTAAGCTAAAGCTAAGCTAAAGCTAAGCTAAAGCTAAGCTAAAGCTAAGCTGAAGCTAAGCTAAAGCTAAGCTAAAGCTAAGCTAACACTAAGCTAAAGCTAAGCTGAAGCTAAGATAAAGCTAAGCTAAAGCTAAGCTACAGCTAAGCTAACACTAAGCTGAAGCTAAGCTAACGCTAAGCTAACGCTAAGCTAAAGCTAAGCTAAAACTAAGATAAAGCTAATCTAAGGCTAAGCTAGCATTAAGCTAAGTCTAAGCTAAAGCTAAGCTGAAGCTAAGCTGAAGCTAAGCTAAAGCTAAGCTGAAGATAAGCTAAAGCTAAGCTAAAGCTAAGCTACAGCTAAGCTAACACTAAGCTAAAGCTAAGCTAAAGCTAAAGCTAAAGCTAAAGCTAAGCTAAAGCTAAAGCTAAGGCTACAGCTCCCAGGGGACTGGGGGAACCGCGGGGCGGGGACTGGGGGAACCGCCCGGGGCGGTTAGCACTGCCCGGCCCTTTAAGCAAAGAGAGTAAGAACCCTTCTAGGCAGAGCCTGGGTAGGGAATTATAAAGCATTGCAACATGTGCCCATTGCAACGGGCGAGTTGTCACGCATGTTGGTATGACAGGGAACGCGATTTGTTGTGAGGTTTGTACAGGCGCTTTCTGTGCTCGCTTGGAGGAGGGAGAGGGGTGATTGGAACCGGCCCCCCCCCCCCCCCTGGATGGAGGGGGGGAGGAGGAGAGAATAAGGATGAGCAGGAGGAGGAGAAGGAGGAGGGAGGAGAGGGGCAAGGGGGGGGAGGAGGAGGAGAGGAGGAGGAGGAGGAGGAGGAGGAGGAGGAGGAGAGAGGAGGAGGAGGAGGAGGAGGAGAGGAGGAGGATGGAGGGAGGGGGAGGAGGAGGCGAGAGGCGAGGCGAGGCGGAGAGGAGGAGGAGAGAGAGAGGAGAGGAGAAGGGAGGAGGAGGGTGGAGGGAGGAGGGAGTTGGGAGGAGGGAGCTGGGAACTGGGAACTGAAATGGAACTGGGAACTGGGAACAACTGGGAATGGGAACTGGAACTGGAAAAACTGGAACTGGATGGGAATTAGGAACTAGGAACAGGGAACAGGGAGCACGGACAGGAGGAGGAGGAGGAGGAAGGAGGAGGGAGAGGAGGAGGAGAGAGGAGGAAGGAGGAGGAAGGAGAGAGGAGGGGAGGAAGGGAGGAGGAGGTGAGGAGAAGAGAGAGGAGGGAGGAGGAGAGGAGGAGGAGAGGAGGAGGAGAGAGAGGAGAGGAGGAGGAGGAGGAGTGGCGAGGAAATGGAGGGGGGGAGGGGGAAGGGGGGCAGGGGAGCGGGGAGGGAGGGAGGGAAGGGAGAGGGAGGGACAAGGGAGGGAGGAACAGGGAGAGGGAGGAGGAGAAGGAGGAGAGAGGGAGGAGGAAAGGAAGGAGAAGGAGGTGGAGTGAGAGAGGAGGAGGAGGAAGGGAGAGGGAGACGGAGACGAGAGGGAGGACGGAGAGGGAGGAGAGGAGAGGAGGAGGAGGAGGAGGAGGAGGAGGAGGAGGAAGAGGAGCGCGAGGAGGAGGCATCGGGGCCCCTCGTTGGCCCCCATGCCGATCTCAAGGGGAAGGTTTCGGGCTGCGCACTGGCACCCCCCCCTGGGTAGTCTCGGCTGGCCTCGACAGGCCCCAACGAGTGGTCCCAACCGGCCTCAACAGCCCCTCCCCCGAGTAGTCCGAGAGGAGGTCAGGGGAGGAGGAGGAGGAGGAGGAGGAGGAGGAGGAGGAGGAGGAGGAGGAAAAGGAGGAGGAGGAGGAGGAGGAGGAGGAGGAGGAGCATGAGTGCACCTGGGGGGCGAGCCGACGCCAGCCCAAGCGGCGACCATGCAGTGATGGAGGGCCCCGCGGCCGTAGATAAAGCCCAAGACCGGCCGCTCCAACTGTTGTCGGAGCCCCGGATCTCTGGGACCGCCGCCCCCTGGCGCCAGTGGCCTCGCCGCAGACGCCGCAACCGCCGTCGCCGCCGCCGTCGCTGTTGCCGTCGCCGTCGCCGCCGCTGTCATCGCCGCCGCCGCCGTCGCCGTCGTCCTCGCCGTCGCCGCCGCCGCCGCCGTCGTCGCCGTCGTCGTCGTCGTCGTCGCCGTCGCCGTCGCCGTCGCCGTCGTCTCGCGGAAGCCCGCCGCCGCCGCGCCGCCGTGGCGGCCGCCGGGCCCCCTCCGAGGCGCCCCGCCCGCCGCCGTCGCTTGCCACGGCCACGGCGGCGCGGGCTACGACGCCAGGGCGCCCCCAGGCGGCGCCGTCCGCGGCCCAGCGGGGGCGCTGCTCGTCGGCTTGGGGCCGAGGAGGGAGGAGGAGGAGGAGGAGGAGGAGGAGGAGGAGGAGGAGGAGGAGGAGGAGGAGGGAAGGATGAGAGAGGAGAGCCCACGAGGGATGAGGGGGAAAGAGGAAGAAGGAGGAGGAGAGATGAGAGAGGAAGAGGGCGGAGTAGAAAGGAAGTACCGCAGGCTGCCACGTGCAAGGATGGGAGGCAGCGCCCGCGACAGGATTGTTTCTTCGTCCATCTCGTGGGCAATGCGATGGACGAGGTGGGGGCCCAGAGTATTCCCATGCAGTATGCTGCAGGGGCTCCACAGCGGATGCTGGCTGCTGCGAGATTGATCGACCGCAGCCGATTCGAGGGCATCGAAGCCGGGGCCGAGCTGGACGAGCTGCGCTTCCGGGCCACTGCATGGAATGAGGGCGTTCCCTCTGGAGCCAGGCGTGGATTAAGCTCTACTCCGGCGAGTGCGAGATTGGCAAGCAGTGGCAGCAGGTCCTGCATTTCGAGGTTATCGACTCTTTTGGTCACGCTCGAGCAATCCTGTCGCATGCCCCCTCATTTCCCTCGTCCGTCACCCTTGGCAGATTGAGAAACCCTTCGCACTCCAGCGTCCCTCCTCCCTCCTTCTGTCGTCCCTCATCCCCACCCGTGTTCAAGGACCGCGAGGGAATGTGGGCTGGTTGTTGGAGACGTCCTGAGGTTTGGGGGGGGGCGGGGGGCTTTCTCAACGCCTTCTCGTGCTTCCTGGGATTTTCCAGCGCCCCCTCTGCTGGCCCCCCCCTCTGGTCCTCGGGGGCCTCGTGGGCATCCTGGGGATTCCTGGGGCCTCACCGGCGGGCCGTGCTGGGTCCCGAAGGGCGAACACGACGAGGGGCAGCAGGGTCAAGACCAGGAGGAGGAGGAGGAGGAGGGGGAGGAGGAGGAGGAGGCGGAGGAGGAGGAGGAGGAGGAGGGGGAGGAGAGGAGGAGGAGGAGGAGGCGGAGGAGGAGGGGGAGGAGGAGGCGGAGGAGGAGGAGGAGGAGGAGGGGGAGGAGGCGGAGGAGGAGGGGGAGGAGGAGGCGGAGGAGGAGGAGGAGGAGGAGGATGAGGAGGAGGAGGAGGAGGAAGACGACGCGGTAAGCATCGCGCCCCCCCTCGCGAGAGCGGTGCCTTCGCAGCGCCCGCGCCACAAGTGCGGACGGCGCGCTCCTTCCAGCGCGCACCCTGCCCCCTGCTTGCTTCCCGTGCCAGTGGGGACGAGAAGCGAGTGGTTGGCAGGGCGAGTGGTTGGAGGAGGAGGAGGAGGAGGAGGAGGAGGAGGAGGAGGAGGAGGAGGAGGTAAACGTGGGGCCAGCGAGGGCTGCGGAGAGGGGCTCTGCAGGTCCCCCTTAGAGGGGCCGCCGAGGGCCCCCCAAAAGGGGGCCGTTGAGGGCCCGAGAAGTGCACCTGTCTTCCCCCCTCCAGTTACAGTCGGGGCCCTGAAGAAGGAACCCTTTTGGTTGGCGAGGGGCTCCGCGTTCCCTAAGTGTTTCACAGCTTGCCTCAGGTGATCCTTATGTCTTCGATCGGGAATCGAAGTTTCACTGATGGAAAAAAGGGGCCTCGTCCCTTATCTAGGGTTCCTTAGGTCAACGCCCCGACTGTATTGCCCAGCATGGGCGACTGGTGCGCCACGTGTGCTTGTGCTCCGCCGCCGCGTCGACAGCGGATTGCCTGCGTCTCGGCATGCGGGCCCGCCACGCCGGGTGGGCAAACGCAGCAGCTGAGCTTTTGTCGCCGGCGGCCTCTCCCACGCTGCGCTGGCGGCCGCCTGTCGCTGTGCGGCCGCCGGCGGCTTGCACCGGCGCAGGCGCTGGGGAGAATCGCCTGCGCCGGCAAGTTGGGTTCCTGTAGTCAGAGCGTGAATTACCTACCGCGCTTTCGCTTCCAGGCAAAACCAAGTCATACCACGCGCCTCCTCGTTAAGCGGCCTGACCAGTACAGGCCGTAGTTTGGCATCGTTTGGTATCTCTTGGAAGCGAGGGTGGTCAAAAGCGAGGTAGGTTTGTTTTCCCCCTATGTAGACGGGGTCAGTCCGTCGGCGTCACCCCTCGGCAGAGCCCCCAGCTTCTCAGCCCTGGGCCACCGCCGACGGGACCCGCAGGCGGCCCGAGGCGAGCGGCGAACGTTCGTGGGTCCGCGCGCACCGCCCGGCGACTGATCTTAGCGTGCATCGCTTGGGTGCGTACGCTCATTGTCGGTCGCCCCAGCCGCCAAGCAGTCCGCCCAGGACCACGGTCGGGAACTCCTCAGGAGGGGAAAAAACACACAGACACAATTAATCGTCGATGCCGAAGAAAATATGGGAAAATATGGGAAGTGGGGGGAAGACAAAAACCCAGAAAATATAGGAAAATATGGAGGATATTTTCATCTGTGTGTATTTACTTGTGTGTCCCAGGGCCCCTTTCAAGTAGTGCGCCCGGGATCACGGTCGGGGACTCCGGGACCACGTGTCGCGCCGCCGGTTCTGGCCCACCACGCTTCGGTGCGACGTGCTGTCCCTCTCCTGGTCCCTCAGCGGCAGCGCCCCGAGCTTTTCCGAGCCGCTCGCCCCGCGGAGCGGAGCGACCCCCTCATCCACTCGCATGGCGCAGCGTGTCGCAGGGGCCGCCGTGTGTGCACGCGAAGCAGAGGCTCCTGACTGGAAGTCCTGATTTTTATGTTAGAAGACTGTTGAGGTTGCAGTCAGCCCGCATAGTAAGGATGGGCAACCTTCTCAAGGGTTCTCTCGCATCCTGGCCTCCTCGGTCCATCCTTGGCCGCTTTCGTCTGCCGCGCCCCGCTTGCAGAGCTTCGAAAGGGCCTCCCGAGGCCCCTGCATCCTTACCGTGCGTCCTCGACGCGCCGACGCGACATGCGCACACGATGTGTTGTTCTCTTGTCGCAGGCGGTACCCACGCGCCTGGGACAGGTCTGGTGCGCGACGGCGGCGGGCAGAGTGGTCAGCTCCTCGCACGGGGTCATGGGTGCTTCTTGGCCCGTCCAGGATACGATTGGCTCGTTTGCGTAAACAGATATCTTACCTTGGCTCGTTTGCGTCCTGGGCGGCGCCAGACGAAGGGCTGCCCCTGCTGCTGCGGGAGGAAGCGCGACCGGGCCCCCAAAGAACGGCGCGCCGATGCGCGGCTCCCACAGCTGCCCGAGGTCTCCAGAGGTCCCCTGGAGGTCCCCAGAGGCTTCATGGAAGCGAACTGGAGCCCGCCGAACATTGGCCTGGCGAGGGGCCCAACCCGGTGCAGCTGCGTGTAGCGCAGTGTGTGGTCCTCTCCTCGTACTTCCGCGCTCCTCGGAGGGAAATGAAGCTCGGGGTAGACGTGTCAGAGTCCCCACGATCCTTGTAAGGGGTGTGCCGAGATGGGTGGTGGGACCCCGTGTGGACGCCCTCGCTGGCGCGCAGGTGGGGGCGGTGTGCCGGCCTGGGCGGAAGGATCGCACACCGCATGCGGGCGTCTTCGCTGGTGCCGCTGGTGCCGCTGGTGGAAGATCCCAATGGGGGGCAGGAAGCGTGCGAGGGGTATTTGTTAAACTGGGCACCCGGGCGGAGAGCAGGGTCAGGCAGAGGAGGGGGAGGAGGAGGGAGCGGAAGGGAGGAGACGCGCGGCGCTGCGGATTCACAACGAGGACCCATCACCACGGCAAGCATGGGAAGAAGACCATTCCAAACACCTCGCTCCTCGCTCGACCCCCTCTCCTCCCTCGACCCTCTCCCCTCGTTCGACGTGAAGATCCTGCTACGCAGACATGGGGGATGGCCGGAGAGTGGGACGGTCACCAGTTTGAAATGTATCCACATCCTTCTGTTTAGCACCACATTACTTCGATGCCGATCTCAAGGGTCCCCCCAGTTTCTGAGGGCACATCCCTAATATTGTCATCTCTTTGGGCCTGCCCATTTCAGGGATAGGGATTAATTCGAGTCTGGCTAAACGGGTGCTTGTGTGGCCTCGTTGTTTTCAATTGATTTGCGCCGCTCGCAGCCTGCCTCCGGCAAAAGGATCCTCGCCCTACCCTCGCCGCCGAGACCCCGCCGCCGAGGAGGAGGAGGAGGAGGAGGAGGCGGATCCTCGGTGCTGAGAAGGAGCCTCCTCCTCCTCCTCCTCCTCCTATTCCTATTCCTATTCCTATTCCTATTCCTATTCCTATTCCTATTCCTATTCCTATTCCTATTCCTATTCCTCCTCCTCCTCCTCCTCCTCCTCCTCCTGCTCCTCCTCCTCCTCCTTCCTCCTCCTCCTTCCCCCCTCCTCCTCCTCCCCTCCTCCTCCCCTCCTCTCCTCCTCTCCTCCTCCTCCTCCTCCTCCTCCTCCTCTTCCTCCTCCTCCTCCTCCTCCTCCTCCTCATCATCATCATCATCCTCATACTCCTTCTTTTCCTCTGGCGGCGACGAGGAGGAGGAGGAAGAGAGGAGGAGGAGAAGGACCTCCGGCGCCGAGGAGCATCCTCGCTCGACCCTCGGCGCCGAGGCCCCGGCGCCGCCCCATGGCGGGGCGCCGCCGCCCGCTGGCGCGCCGCCGCCCGCCTACGGGTCGCAAGCGGCCACCCACGCACCGCCTCCCAGGGACGGCTCCACTGGGCGGGGGGGGGGTGCAGGGACCCTCCTCCTCCTCCTCCTCCTCCTCCTCCTCCTCCTCCTCCTCCTCCTCCTCCTCCTCCGCCTCGTCCTCCTCCTCCCCTCCTCCTCCTCCTCCTCCTCCTCCTCCTCCTCCTCCTCCGCCTCCTGCTTCCGCCTCCTTCGCTCCTCCGTCCTCCTCCGGAAGTCGACGAGGCGCAAGAGTGAACCTTCGCCAGAGTGACACTGGGTGCGGGCCCACTGGGGCCCCCCGATCGCCGAGCGCGATGCGAGAGTGGCGTCTTGCGCGCTCGGGGTTAGCCCCCCCGAGGTCCCCAAAAATCAACGCAGAAAAGGTCACTCTTACCCAGGGTCACCCTTGCGTGTAGCTGGTCAGATCTGCAGAGCCAGGGGTGCACTGACCCAGGCTTGGGTGCAGGATCCTTCAGGATCCTGCAGGATTTTACAGGATCTTGCAGGGCCTGACTAACCCGGGTTTGCGTTGACCCGGGTCAGCGTGCCCCCGAACACAGGCAATGACACAAGCATGAGAAGTCGGAGGTCCGCGCGGACTCCTCGGATCGGCTCTGGAGCCCCCCAGCGGCGCCTCTTGCGCCGCCCGTGAGTCCAACGCAGATCCGCGAAATCTGCGCGGTCTCCGAGTTGTTATGTGATCCCCCCGAAGATCATACATCTCATCTTGATTCGTGCTCCTCCTCCTCATCATCCCCCTCGTCTGCATCTTTATCATCCTTATATTCTTCACTCTGGCTGCGCATCCTTCTTCCTCACTTCCCTTACTCAGTATGCTTCCTCTCATGATCATCCTCCTCCTCCTCCTCCTCCTCCTGCTGCCCATCGCCCTCATGATCATCTCTCTTCTCATCTTACTCCCTTTCATGGTCCTCATCTTCTTCCTGCTCTATCTCTTGATCCTCGTCCTCCTGCTCCCTCTCGTGATCCTCATGCTCAGCCTGCTCCCTCTTGTGATCCTCATTCTCAGCCTGCTCCCCACTTGTGATCATCATCCTGCCTCCTCTTATGTCCGCATTCTCCTCCTGGTCCCTCTCGCAATCGTCCCCTCCCTTTCCCTGTCCCTGATCTCCACATATCTGTGTCCGCGCAGTCCCCACAGGCACGGTGCCCCCCCCCCCCACACAGGGAGCTCCACCCATTGCTTGCGGGCAAATTCGCGTAGCATTTTATCCCGCGCATGTCGGCACAACTCTTTTAATCACTCCTCCCCCCTCTATCATCATCATCAGCATCATCAGCATCATCATCCTCAGCATCATCATCATCAGCAGCATCAGCAGCAGCATCATCATCAGCAACATCAGCATCATCAGCATCTTCATCATCGTCATCAGCAGCAGCATCATAATCAGCATCATCATCCTAATCTGCATAATCAGCAGCAACAGCCGCAGCATCCTATTTATTACCACCATCATCATATCACCATCACCACCACCATCACCACCACCATCACCATCCCTTCATCTACATTACAGTATCGTCACCTCGTCTGTATCCTCACCCCCATTATCGTCCTCGCCCAGCCCCGTAACATCCTCCGCCGTTTCACACCCTCCATCCACCCTCTGCCTCTTGCGTTTGCCGTTGTATTCCTCATTCCCTGCCTCGCCCCCGGCCATCGCCGAACGCGATGCGAGAGTTGCGTCTTGCGCCCAGCGGCCCCTCAAAAGCCGCGCACCAGAGGTCTCTTGCGTGTAGCCCCACAGGGAGCTCCACCGAAGGCCCCAGCGGCAGGGTCCGCATGCGTACCCGCGCCCGATTCGGCATACCCTACCACGTTCTGTGGTCCCACAGGGAGCCCCACCGAAAGCCCGAGTGGCAGGGTGCGCGTGGCGTTCCCGCACCCGATTCGGCACACCCCTCATACCCTTCGTGGCCTCATAGGGAGCTCCACCGAAGCGTACCCGCACCCGACTTAGCACACCCCTCACACGTTTCGTGGCCCTAGAGAGAGCTCCACTGAAGGCCCCAAGGGCAGGGTCCGCATGCCATACCCACAACGGACTCGACACACCCCTCACACGATTCGTGGTCCCATAGGGAGCTCCACCGAAGTCCCTAGCGACAGGTTCCGCATGGCGTGCCCGCAACCGAGTCGAAATACCCCACATGCTTTTTATGGCCCCGTGTAGAGCTCCACTGAAGGCCCCAGCGGCACAGTCAGCATGGTTTACGCGCACCCGATTCGGCACAACCGCCCACACGATTCGTGGCCCAATAGGATGCTCCACCGAAGCCCCCAGTAGCAGGGCCCGCATGGCGGCCCCGCACCCTTTTCGGCACACCCCTCACACGTCTCGTGGCCCCGACGGGAGCTCCACCGAAGGCCCCAGCAGCACGGTCCGCATGGCGCTCCCGCACCTGCTCCAGCACAGCCCTCACACGCTCCGTGCCCCATAAGCAGCACCGAAGGCCCCAGCGACGGGGTCCGCATGGCGTACCCGCACCCGGCTCCGCACACCTCTGACACGTTTCGTGGCCCCATGAGCAGTTCCACCGAAGGTCCCAGCGGCAGGGCCCGCACGGCGGCCCCGCGTCGATCTCCAGACAATCCTCGCACGTTTCGTGGCCCCCCACAGGGAGCTCCACCGAAGGCCTGAAGCGGCAGGGTCCGCATGGCGTGTTCGCGCCCGATCCGGCACACCTTTCACACGTGTCCGTCAGACCTCGGGAGACCAGGACAAATACTAACCAGGACAAGGGGAAATCTGCAAAGTCAGATGTTGGTCGTCCAGTACATTTGTTCGTTGCTGCGCTTGGTCGTCCAGTGAGTTTGTTCGTTGCTGCACTGCAGGGTTCGGGTCTTCGTCCATGTCTACGGGAGGTCTTGCAGGCGGTTATGGCCTTTGTCTGGGTTCATTCCAGAAATATTGCAGTTGCAGTGCATTTTGTTGTCCGTGCCGCCCTCTTGTGCAGTGCAGTTTTTTGTTCGTGCCGCCGTCGGGGGAAGTTGGTTTCGAGGTAGTTTGGATGTCCTGGTCTAGCGTGTCCTGGTTTAGGGTGCCCTGAGCCGTGGCCCCATAGGGAGCTCCACCGAAGGCCCCAGCGGCAGGGTTCGCATGGCCCGCATCCGATCCGCCTTACCCCACACACGTGCCGTGGCCCCATATGGAGCTCCATCCAAGGCCCGAATGGCAGGGTCCGCATGGCGCACCCGCCCCGTGTCGGCACACCCCTCACTCCTCCCCCCCTGCTTCGTCTCACTTACCTCGCAGTGCCCGCAGCTTCACATTGTTGGGCCCTTGGTTGGAATATTAGTTAGTTCCCATGGGAGGAGCCTCGTCGCTCGGGTAGGGCCCTTCGGCAGCAAATCAAGCGAGCCTCGGGTTTCCTCGTAATGATGTCTTTTGAGTGCACTAGCGTGCGCTAGCGTGTGGCAATCGATGAGAAAGCGCGGATTTAGCATCTATTGGCGTCGATTTAGCGTCGATCAGCGTCGATTGAGCGTCGGCAAGCCTCGATTAGCGTCGGTCAGCGTCGATTCGCAAGAGCCAGTAAGATGGCTTGGGAGGCTCCCATGAGTTGCCACAGAGGATCCTGGGCTCCAGAATCGTGCCCGAGCAGATGCTGGGCTCCAGAATCTGCGGTCCCTGGTCCCTTCAGGGCCCAGGAGGACAAGAGGCAGCAAAAGCGCAGATTTTCAAATGACCGACCCAGATGCCCGACCCTCGTCTTCGAATATCTTTGGAGCTCCCGGGGGCACTCGCCGCCATGGCTGGATTCGGATTGAAATCTCGTCGGAACGCACACCGAGGGAGGGTCGGGGAGGACACGTCCAGGAAGAACAAGACATCTTGAGATCTGGCCGTCGCGACACGGCACGTGGCGATACTTCCTCCGCGTTCTCGGCCCCTCCCTGCCCCGGGTCCGGCAGAGAAGGCTCACCACGAGGAGGAGGCCCCGGGGACGGGCCGAGGGCCGCAGGGGGCCCGCGTCGCAAAAACACTGCGAGAGGGAGCGCGCCGCTGTGGGTGCCCCCCTGCTCGAGGAACAGAGAACGCCATAAAAGCATAAGCTTTCGGCGGTCCGCGAGGATGTCTTGGATCTGCGTTGGAGCGCCCTGGCTGCAGCCTGCAGCCCTGCCCCCCCCCTCCTCGGCCCCTTCTCCTGGTCTCGGCCCGAGTTGCGGCGGCAGGCCTGTTCGCGCAGGGTAATTCAGGACCTCGCGCGGCCCGCGCGGACCTTGACACGCCGTCGGCGCGCTCGCCTGCGGCTGGCAACAAAAAGATGGAGCGCCCTGGCGGCGCCTCTGGCGCCGCCAGGGCGCTCCAAAAGGTGTGAGAGGCGCCGACAGGGCGCCTCTGGCGCCGCCAGGGCGCCCTGGCAACAAAAAAACGTGTGAGAGGTGTGCCGAGAGCAGAGGCAAGGAGGGGGAGGAGGGAGGAGGGAGGGGGCAGCGGGAGGAGGAGTGAACGCGGGGCGCTGTCTCTTCAAGACGAGTCGAGGACCCAACACTACAGGATGGTTGGGAAAAATGGAGCGCCCTGGCGGCGCCTCTGGCGCCGCCCCTGGCGCGCCCCGCGCGCCAGGGAGGGGGGTCCGGCGCAGGCCCACGAAATCCGCGCGCACCCTCGAGCGTTTCTGTTCGTGGCGTTCTCTCTCTCTTTCTCTCTCTCTCTCTCTCTCTCTCGCCTTGACGAAATGGCGACAAGGGGAAAAAAACAACAACAAAAAAAAAAATGGCGTTCTCTCTCGCCCCTCTGCCTTGTGGGGGGCCTCGTCGCGCCACGGCCAGAGGCGCTCGCGACAGCCCATGGGCAGGGCGCCGCCTCGGGGGGGCCCCAGGGCCGGCAGCAGGGCCTCGGCACGGCCGGGGCCGATGCGGGGAGGAGGCCCGGAAGCTCCGCGCGCCGGCTGGGATGCTCGTGCGCGTCCCGGGGAGGGTGCCCCTGGATGTTCCGTGCGTCTTGGCCGGCGGAGGACGTTCGGCATGGGCACGGAAAGAATGGGTACAGTCGGGGCCCTGAAGAAGGAACCCTTTTCGTTGGGGAGGGGCTCTGCGTTCCTGAAGTGTTTCGCAGCTTGCCTCAGGTTTTCCTTATGTTGTCGATCGGAAATCGAATTATAACTTATGGAAAAAAGGGACCTCGTTCCTTATTTTGAGTTCCTTAGGTCAAGGCCCCGACCGTACGATGCCCAGTTCCTGTTCAATTTGAACAGGATTCGCTGTCCGCACCGCCGCCGACGCTGTTCACTGCAGACAAAAAGCCGCCTGCCCAACGGCAGCCGCTGTCGATTTTGGACAACATTTGTCGTTGGACATTTGCTGTTGTCGGCGGCGGGTGAAGGGTGAAATGATAAGGAGAAGGCCTTCTAGAAGGCCGCGGGACTTCTCAGAAGCCCTCGCGCCTTCTGAGAACATTTTTTTCGGGGAAGACCTAGAAAACTTCTCAGAAGGCTGGGGGACTTCCGAACCCTCTGAGAAGGCCTTCTCCTTCTCTCACTCGCCTCCCTCGCACGCCGCCGCTGTTGGGCATTGGGCCACATCGCAGGACGCTCTCCTGTCCTGGGTCCCCCTGTACCTCTTACAGGAGGGGAAAAACACACAGACACAATGACTTCTTCGATTCCCCAGAAGATATGGAAAGTCTGGGAAGTGGCTTGGGGGGGGGAAGACAAAAACCCAGGAAGCACGGGAAAATGTGGGGAATCCTGTCGTTCGTGTCTATTGATTTGTGTGTCCCAGGGCCCCTTCCCTCTTACAGTCTTGCCCCAGGCTCGCCGTATGGCCCGCCGGCGCACCACGGCGGCTCGTCGCCCGCCTACGGGGCGTCGCTCCCGGCCGGCGCGCCGCCGCCGGCCTATGGCGCGCCGGGGGGGCTCCGCCACCGTCCACCAAAGGGGTCGGGAACGGAGGCCTGTCTTCGGCAGCAAGTCAGTCAAGGGCAACGATAGGGGGGGGATACGCAACGGGGGGGACGCATCTATCCTGAAGTCGGGCCTGCTCCTGCACAGGAGGAAGATTCAAAAATAGTCATGTATATATATATATATATATATACATACAAGATTTTACCGGCTCGCTTCGCTTCGCCTTTAAAATCTTGGTCGCATGGCGTCAGCGAGGTTCGCCTCTACCCGTGGTCGCACGCACCGCGGTCTGATTTGGCAATGAGGCTCACGGGGCCCATAGGGCTGATACGATTCATTGGGTTCTTTGGGTCAGTGTGCTGAAAGGCTCTTTGCCGTGACTGGATCTTAGAAGTTCGGGGGCGGAATGTGGAGATGGGAAACGTCGGGCATCGCGGCACCTGGGGGCCATGGGGTTTCCAGTGTCCGCAGCCGAGCTTGAATTCAGAAGGGGCTCTCGGGCTGATGAGCTCATTGGGCGCGGAGGCGCGGAGCGCCCAAGGCATCGCCGAAGCCAATGGTCTTTGGCCACGTGGACCGCGTCGGCTCATGGGGCTTCCTCGGATCATGGGGCCCATGGCGGTCATTTTGCCCACTGGGCCCGGAAGGGTGATCAGGTTCAGGACGGGTCGTCCGGGTCGTAGGGCTCATAGGGTCGACGGGGCCCATGGGGCTCATAGGGCTCGTCATGCTCTGTGGGCTAGCGTGGGCCGTGGGGTGCATGAGTCTGAAAGGGCTCTCAGCGCGCTTCACCCGCGTGAACGCCCTGAGCGGCATGGGGCCCATGGGGTGCACAGGGCCCGCAGGGGTCATAGGGCTTATAGAGCTCATGAGGCTCATAGGGCTCGTAGGGCTCATGGGGCTCATAGGCCTCATAGGGCTCATAGGGTACATGGGGCTGATAAGGCTCATTGGGCGCATAGGGTTCATAGGGCTCATAGGGCTCATCGGTCTCAGAGGGATCTTGGGTCCCCCAGGGCGTATGGGGCGCATATGGTTCGCAGGGCCCATAGGGCTCATACCTCATAGGGCTCATGGGGCTCATAGGTCTCGGCTGTCTTGGGCTGTCTTGGGGCTGTCTTGGGCGTGTCTTCGGCTGTCTTGGGGCTGTCTTGGGGCCGTCTTGGGCTCATAGGGCGCATAGGGCTCATAGGGCTCGTAGGGCTCAAAGGGCTCGTAGAGCTCACTCGGCTCATAGGTCTCGTAGGGCTCACAGGGCTCATGGGGCTCATAGGGCTCGTACGGCTCATAGGGCTCATAGGGCTCATAGGGCTCGTAGGGCTCGTAGGGCGCATAGGGCTCATAGGGCCCGTAGGGCTCATAGGGGCCATCAGGCTCATAGGGCTCTTGGGGCCCATAGGGCTCACAGTGCTTGCAGGGCTCATGGGGCTAATAGGGCTCGCAGGACTCGTAGGGCTCATAGGGCTCATATGGCTCAGTGGGTCCATAGGGCTCACAGGGCTCATAGGGCTCGTAGGGCTCCTGGGGCTCATAGGGCTCATAGGGCTCATCGGGCTGACACGGCTCATAAGGCTCATAGGGCTCATGGGGCTCACACGGATCGTAAAGATCATAGGGCGCACAGGGCTCATGGGGCTCGTAGGGCTCCTCATAGGGCTCATGGGGCTCATAGGGCTCGTAGGGGTCATAGGGCTCATAGAGCGCATAGGGCTCGTAGGGCTCATCGGGCTCATAGGGCTCGTAGGGCTCAAAGGGCTCATGGGGCTCATAAGGCCCGTAGGGTTCATAGGGATCGTAGGGGTCGTAGGGCGCATAGGGCTCATAGGGTCCATAGGGCTCATAGGGGGGTTCGCGGAGCTTGCACGTCTTGTCGACTCATTGTTGCCGTCGTGGAAGCCCAGGGCACAAATGAGGTGGAAGCGTATCTATTTCCGAAGGATGTTGATGACTGTAGCTTCCTGGGGCCGCATTGGGAGACCCTTGGGTGCGTTATTGAGCCGTCTTGGGGGCTGTTTTGGGGATCCCTGGGGGCATTTTTTGGGCCTCTCGGGGGCTTGAGACCTGATTGGGGCGTCTGGGGAGAGTCTGGGGCCTCTCGGGGGCCTCTTGGTGCGTCATGTTCCTCCTTTTCGGCTTCTGTTGGGGGAGTCTTGGGGCCTCCTGGGCTCGTCCCGGGCGCTCGTTGGAGAGTCTTGAGGCCGTCTTGGGCCGTCCTGGGGCTGTCGTGGGGACCTCTTGTGCCTCCTTTGGGCGGTTTTGGGGGCCTATGGGGCCGTCGTGAAGTGCAGAAAGCGGAGAAAGCGGAAACGGCCAAATACTCGGAAAAACTATACGAAATTGACGAAATTAGTCTCTCGAAGCCTTCTTGGGGAGCCTCTCTGAGCTCTCTTGGGACCTCTTGGGAGCCTTTTGGGCCGTGTGTGGTCCCTCTGTGAGCGCTCATGGGCCGTCCCGGAGCGATCTTGGGCCGTCTCGGGTCTCCCCGGGACCGTCCGGGAAGCGTTCGTGGGCCCGGCCGAGCGGCGCAGGGTGGCCTGGAGGGGGTCCGAATCCGAACTTTCGACTTTCACGTCCGAGGGGCCGAATTTATGTACGGGGGGGGGGGTTTTCCTTATAAGAATATTCGAGAAGGAATATATATATATATATATATATATATATATATATTATATATATATATATGCGTGTATTCCTATATGTTTACAAGCCCGGGGGGGGGAAAACCATCCCCAAAAAAAAACTGGACCCCCGGGATCTGGGGTTCTCGGGCTCCCTTGGACGTCCTTGGAAAAGGTCACCCGGCTTTCCGGGTCTCCACAAACTCCTTCCCAGCAGACCCAGAGCGATCCGAGGGGTCATCAGAAAGGCTCAAGGGAGGCCCCAGGCAGCACAAGAGCTCTCCAAGAGGGACTCCAATTGCGTCAGAACGGCCCAAAAGACCCCCAAGGCACCCCAAAAAGCTTCCCAAGGGGCCTTCAAAGCACAGAAATCGTCCCATTCCCTTCGTAAAACTTACAAGTTTAGCATATTCGCCTCTCGGATTTCATCAGCTTTGAAGACGGTTTCAAAGCCCCCGAGATCGCCTCCAGACGCCCCAAAAGGCCTCCAAGAAAGCTTCAAGACGGCCGAGCCCGGCCCCACGATCGCCCGCGAGAGCCCCAAGACAGCCCATAATGGAACCAAGAGGCCCCCTCAGGGCTCCCAGCACAGACCCAAAAGGGCCGTGGGAGGTCCCTGGAAGTGCCCAAGATGGGTCCAAAGGGGGCTCCAGCGGGCCCGAGCTCCCCAAGACGGCCCAAGAAGGCCCAGGACGGCCCATGAAGGCGCCAAAACGGCCCACGAGGGCCCCGAAAACACCCCCACGATGTTTCCGAATGCCAACATAAAGACCCCCAAGGCACGCCAAAAAGCTTTCCAAGGGGCCTTCAAACCGCAAAAATCGTCCCAGTCCCTTCGTAAAGTTTACAATATTAGCAGATTCGCCTTTCGGATTTCATCAGCTTTCAAGACCGTTTCAAAGCGCCAGGGAGCGCCTCAAGACGCTCCAAAAGGCCCCCTAGAAAGCTTCAAGACGGCCGAGCCGGGCCCCACGATCGCCCACGAGAGCCCCAAGACAGCCCATAATGGAACCCAGAGGCCCACCAAGGGCTCCCAGCACAGACCCAAAAGGGCCGTGGGAGGTCCCCGGAAGTGCCCAAGACGGGTCCAAAGGGGGCTCCAGCGGGCCCAAGCTCCCCAAGACGGCCCAAGAAGGCCCCAGGACGGCCCATGAAGGCGCCAAAACGGCCCACGAGGGCCCCGAGAACACCCCCACGATGTTTCCCATTGCCAACATAAAGACCCCCAAGGCACGCCAAAAAGCTTTCCAAGGGGCCTTCAAACCGCAAAAATCGTCCCATTCCTTTCGTAAGATTTACAATATTAGCAGATTCGCCTTTCGGATTTCATCAGCTTTCAAGACGGTTTCAAAGCCCCCGAGATCGCCTCAAGACGCTCCAAAAGGCCCCCAAGAAAGCTTCAAGATGGCCGAGCCGGGCCCCACGATCGCCCACGAGAGCCCCAAGACAGCCCATAATGGAACCAAGAGGCCCCCCAAGGGCTCCCAGCACAGACCCAAAAGGGCCGTGGGAGGTCCCTGGAAGTGCCCAAGACGGGTCCAAAGGGGGCTCCAGCGGGCCCAAGCTCCCCAAGACGGCCCAAGAAGGCCCTAGGACGGCCCATGAAGACGCCAAAACGGCCCACGAGGACCCCGAAAACACCCCCACGATGTTTCCGAATGCCAACATTCATTGATTTTGTTCCCATGACATTTCATATTGTGACCCAGTCATTGAGGGTCTCGTGGCATGCAGCGAAGATGCCCGAGGATGCCCCGTACGAGTTGCGTATGCATGTTCATACCCTTACACACAGAAATGTATATGTACACATGTGCGCTGCATACACATACAACAATGAACGTATATTGTATACACCTAGACATTTATACGGAACGTGCATGCACGTGCGCGTGTATACATGCATGCGCGCATATTCGCACGCACGCATTCCGCTTGCGTGCAGAACTCAAAAGACCAAGGTGCATGGCGCGCAGCGCCAATGCAGTCTTGTATATATATATATATATATATATATATATATATATATATATTTTTTGACTGTTTGGGGTTATGGTTTGATATTTCTTTATGTTTCGTCCAAAATCCGCCTGTAGGGGGACGTGCCCGACCTAAATCTATCCCCAAGCGCCCATGGATCGCCGATAGGGACCCGATAGCCCCACCCAGCCCAGGAAGGTGCGGATTCGCTGTCGGGAGCATATCGCTGATCTATCGGCGTTGTTTTGCCGATGCCAGGTCGATGCATCCCGGCCTGTGCCAGTCCCCCCCCTATCGTTGCCCCTCAGTCATGGGAGCCTGGTATACCCCTTTAGTTCCGTCTTCAGCGCCGACTAGCGTCTGAGGGTCGATGAGATGGCGCCGATGTCGCGTCGGCTGGCATCGATTTGCAACGGTCTAGCGTCGATTAGCGTCGCCTATCGTCGATTAGCGTCGACTCGCAAGAGCCGGCAAGATGCTATGGTAGGCTCCCATGAGTTGCCACAGAACTTCTCCCAGCCGTCCTGAGGTGTCAGGGGCTTCGTTTTGACGAGACGGCGCCCCGCGTCACCTACCTCCCTCCCTCTCTCTCCTTCCCTCCCTCCCTCCCTCCCTCCCTCCCTCCCCTCCTTCTCCTCCTCCTCCTCCTCCTCCTCCTCCTCCTCCTTCTCCTCATCCTCCTCCTCCTCCTCCTCTTCCTCATCATCCTCCTCATGCCTGCCTCTGCCCTCCGGACGTCCACGCCGGCACACCCGCCACTGGAACTGCCTCCTCCCAATCCCGGGCCTCTGCCCTCCGCACGTCCCTGCCTCCGCGCTCCGCACCACCGCGGTCGGGGATGGAGGTCGTCGAATGTTTCTTTTCATGCTTGGGCTTCCGGGTGACTCCTCGCCGCAACGGCTGCATTGCCCTCGAAGTTCTGGTCATAACGGCCGATGCTTTCTTTCAGGTTCGCCATGCAGAACAGAGTCACGAGGGAAAGGGTTCCCGAGGTGCCTCGTCGTTATCAGCTTTCTGGGGCACACCTCTCCGGGTCCTAGGGCCGTCTGAACATGATTCGGTGCGCAAGGTTGGCCTTGGGGCAAAGCCTAGAAGTCCAGGAACCGCTACCGTCAAAGCACATACAAATACGGGGATCCAAATGTCTCTTGCGATTGCCTCCTACCAGGAAGCCTCTTATACGTGTTGGCTGGCCAGTATCAGCGAGCGCTGGATACGTACGCACGTGTGGCGCTCGGCCCTTGCGTGGTCTCAGTTCGGCCCTCCGTGTGGTCCATCTGTGCATCCGCGCTCCAGGACTATCCAAAAACAACGTTCCAAAACAACTCGGTTGAAAAGGCAGCGCGTTGAAACATCAGCCTGGCAATAGACCCAACCATCTGCGGGTGTTAGTGCCGCAAGGCAGGCGGAACGAAAGAGGGGCAGTTCTCCGTGGGGCCATGAAATGTGTGAGACGTGTGCCGACATTGCTGCGGGTCCGCCATGCGGACCCTGCCGCTGAGGTCCTCGGTGGAGCTCCCATGTGGGGCCACGAAACGTGTGATAGGTGTGCCGAAACGAGTGCGGGGTCGCCATGCGGACCTTGCCGCTGTGAAAGTCTTCATAGGGCCACGAAATGTGTGAGGGGTGTGCCGAAATTGGTGCGGGTCCGCAATGCGGACCCTGCCGCTGGGGCCTTCGCAGGATCCTCAATATAATATGTAGCCACGGAACGTGTGAGAGGTGTGCCGAAACGAGTGCGGGGTCGCCATGCGGACCTTGCCGCTGTGAAACTCTGCATGCGATAACGAAATGTGTGAGGGGTGTGCCGGATGTGTTGCGGGTCCGCCATGCGGACCTTGCCGCTGGGGCCTTCGGTGGAGCTTCCATATGGGGCCACGAAACGTGTGATGGGTGTGCCGAAATGGGTGCAGGGTCGCCATGCGGACCTTGCCGCTGTGAAACTCCTCATGGGGCCACGAAATGTGTGAGGGGTGTGCCGAAACGAGTGCGGGGTCCGCCATGCGGACCCTGCCGCTGAGGCCTTTGGTGGAGCTCTCCATATGGCCACGAAGCGTGTGAGGGGTGTGTCGACATGGGTGCGGGACCGCCATGCGGACCCTGCCGCTAGAGCCTTCCATAAATCCCCATATGGGACCACGACACGTGTGAGAGGTATGCCGAAACGAGAACGGGGCCGTCGTGCGGACCTTGCCGCCGTGAAAGTCTTCATGGGGCCACGAAATGTGTGAGGGGTGTGCCGACATTGCTGCGGGTCCGCCATGCCGACATTGCCACTGGGGCATTCGGTGGAGCCCCCATATGGGGCCACCAAACGTGTGAGAGGTGTGCCGAAATGGGTGCGGGGCAACCATGCGGGCCCTGCCGCTGGGGCCTTCGGTGGATTTTCCATATGGGGCCACGAAACGTGCTAGAGATGTGCCGAAAGAGTGCGGGGTCGCCATGCGGACCGTGCCGCTGTGAAACTCTTCATGGGGCCACGAAATGTGTAAGGGGTGTGCCGAAATTGGCGCGGGTCCGCAATGCGGACCCTGCCGCTGGGGCCTTCGGTGGAGCTCCCATATGGGGCCACGACACGTGTGAGAGGTGTGCCGACATTGCTGCGGGTCCGCCATGCGGACCTTGCCGCTTGGGCCTTCGGTGGATCCCCAATATGGGGCCGCGAAACGTGTGAGAGGTGTGCCGAAACGAGAACGGGGCCGTCATGCGGACCTTGCCGTTGTGAAACTTTTCATGGGGCCACGAAATGTGTGAGGGGTGTGCCGACATTGCTGCGGGTCCGCCATGCCGACATTGCCACTGGGGCCCTCGGTGGAGCCCCCATATGGGGCCACCAAACCTGTGAGAGGTGTGCCGAAATGGGTGCGTGGCAACCATGCGGGCCCTGCCGCTGAGGCCTTCGGTGGATTTTCCACATGGGACCACGGAACGTGTGAGAGGTGTGCCGAAACGAGTGCTGGGTCGCCATGCGGACCTTGCCGCTGTGAAACTCTTCATGGGGCCACGAAATGTGTGAGGGGTGTGCCGGATTTGTTGCGGGTCCGCCATGCGGACCTTGCCGCTGGGGCCTTCGGTGGAGCTCCCATGTGGGGCCACGACACGTGTGAGAGGTGTGCCGAAATGGGTGCGGGTCCCCCATGCGGACCCTGCCGCTGAGGCCTTCGGTGGATCTCCCATACGGAGCCACGGAACGTGTAAGAGATGTGCCGAAACGAGTGTGGGGTCGCCATGCGGACCGTGCCGCTGTGAAACTCTTCATGGGGCCATGAAATGTGTGAGGGGTGTGCCGAAATGCGTGCGGGTCCGCCATGCGGACCCTGCCGCTGGGGCTTTCGGTGGAGCTCCCATATGGGGCCACGAAACGTGTGAGAGGTGTGCCGGCATGGATGCGGGGCCGCCGTGAGGACCCTGCCGCTGGGGCCTTCGGTGAAGCTCCCCATGGGGCCACGAAACGCGTGAGGTGTGTGTGTGTGTGTGTGTATGTCGAAACGGAAGTATGCGGATGGTGAAGGCAGGGATGAGTTGAGGGAGGAGGGGGACAAGGAAAGTGATGCGCGATGCGGGGCGCCGTCATTTCAAAGCCAGGGCCCGACATCACAGGATGGTTGGGAAGAACGCCTCGTATTTGCGCACGCCCTCTCGATGCTGCAGACGTCGAAGGTCTGGGAAGAGGGGGCGAGGGCCCCCAGAGGCCTAGAAGCGGTTATGCCGCGAGTTCTTGTTGCGACGAGAGGGGCTCATGGGATGGGAGGAGGAGGAGGAGGAGGATGAGGGAGAAGAGGAGGAGGAGGAGGAGGAGGATGGGGAGGGGGAGGGGAAGGAGGAGGAGGGGGAGGAGGACGAGGACAAGGACGACGAGGACGAGGACGAGGACGAGGACGAGGGAGGAGGGGGGTGGAGGAAGAGGAAGGGGAGGAGGAAGAGGAGAGGAAGAGGAGGAAGAGGAGGAGGAGGAGGGGAGGGCGAGGAGGAGGAGGGGGAGGAGGAGGAGGACGAGGAGGAGGAGGAGGAGGAGGAGGAGGAGGAGGAGGAGGAAAGGAGGAGGAGGAGGAGGAGGAGGAGGGACAGTGGGAGAAGTGAGGAGTCGGCGGTTCCTAGGTTCGGCGGCGAGTGAGGGGGGAAGTGAGAGGGAGCGGGCCTCAGAAGACTCAGAAGTCCCCAGCCCGTCTGTTTCCTGGGCCGTCCCCGAAGCCACAGGAATCTCTCAGGAGGCGCGAGGGCTTCTGAGAAGCCCCGCCGCCTTCTGAAAAGGCCTTCCCCAGACATTTGGCCGCTCCAATTTTCTGATGTGTGGGTTTGGAGGTCTGGACCACTTCCCTGGGGCCGGTTTTTCACCCCAAGCCGTTTGTTTAGCAGTCTCAAGGTTTGGTAATGGCCCCCAGAGGCCGAAAATACCCAAACCCGCCTGTCCAATTTTATCGGGGCGTCGGATCTTTGGGTCTCCTCCTCACTTCCCCACCCCCGCTCGCCGCCGACTTGTGACGTCCAGAACCGGGATAGCGGCGCAGTCGAAGGCGCGTGAACATACTCGTGGGAGCCGCTCGGGAGGACGCTTGAAAGGATGTTTGGCCAGCTTGGCAAGCTCTGGAAAGGAGCACTTCCCCCCAAATGCCCGGCCCGCCTCACCAGCACGACTTGGGGTGCGCCAGGGAGGAGTTCGTTCTTGGGGGGATGGTCGGAGGAGGAGGTGGAGGAGGTGGCGGAGGTGGAGGAGGTGGAGGAGGTGGAGGAGGAGGAGAAGGAGGAGGAGGAGAGGAGGTGGAGGAGGAGGAAGAGGAAGAGGACGAGGACGAGGACGAGGACGAGGAGGAGGAGGAGGAGGTGGAGGAGGAGGAACAGGAGGCGAAGGAGGCGGAGGCGGCGGACGAAGCCCCGCTCGCCGCCGACAGGTGGCGCGCCGCCACCGGCGCACGGGAGCGCCTACGGCGCCCCCCCCGGCGCACCGCCCGCGCACGGCGCGCCGCCCGCGCACGGGGCGCCGCCCGCCTACGGGGCGCCGCCCGCGCACGGCGCGCCGCCCGCGCACGGGGCGCCGCCCGCCTACGGGGCGCCGCCCGCGCACGGCGCGCCGCCCGCGCACGGGGCGCCGCCCGCCTACGGGGCGCCGCCCGCCTACGGGGCGCCGGCCGCCTACGGGGCCCAACCCGCCTACGGGGCCCCGGCCGCCCCGGCGCAGACGCGTGCGTACTATTAGGCCGGCCCGCGCGCGCCGCCGGCCGAGGCGCGGCGCCGTGGATGGTTCGGCGGTGAAGAAGGCACCGCCTGTAGAGGCCTCCTGGGTCCTAGATTCTAGATGGGCTCCGGGTAGATGGGATCGGAGGATCGCGCCGCATCGCCGGAGCATCGGCAAGTGCATCGACGATGCGCCGGCGATGTGCCGGCGACGTCGGCGGCGCATCGGCGACGACGGCGTGGAGAAGATCGGGCTCCATATCGAGCCGCATCGCCGATGCATCGACGACACGGCGCGATCCTCCGACCCCATCTACTCGGACCCCATCTAGGAGGCCTGTAGTCTGTCAAGCAGTTGCGAAGTGTCCCAGCTTGCCTTCCCCTGAGATCCTGGCGACTCAATCTTCTCGAGCCGGGCGTTTTCGCTCAATTTCGGACCTTGGGACCCTCACAAATCGATCCAGTTCGAAAAATGACGCTGAACGATGTGGTCCGGGGGTCCGATTGTGATTTTCTGCGATGTTGCAATTGTTTTGCAACGTCGGATCTCATCCCAGGGATTGGCCCACCGAAGAAGATTCTAAGAGCCTTCTGTGAGTTGCACCAGATGCTGCTATAATAGTTATGGCTGAAGGTGTTTTGTTTTAGTACATCGTGTTTACAATTTTCCATTCCCTAAAGCATTGCCTTTCTTCGTAGAACATGATTTTGTTCTTAGAACATGCCGTGATAGGCCTATGAAAATGCCGGGACGGTCGGCCCCTGCTCAAGTTTGGGCAGGAGGCGATGCCCCCAGCGATCCGGCGCTCCGAAAACATTAGCGCGGCGGTTCTTTTAGGCCGTCTTCGGCCTGCGTGGGCCGTCAAAAAACGACTCGGGAGGGAAAATTGGCCCCACAGTCAACCCGCATCGTGTTTCTGTCTGTGTTCTGTGTTTGTGTGTATTTGTGTGTTTGTGTTTTGTTGTTGTTTTTGCTGCTGCTGCTGTTGTTGTGCGTGTGTGTGTGTGTGTGTGTGTGTGTGGATTCGTGTGTGTTTTTGTGTTTGTGTGTTTGTGTCTGTGTGTTGAAGCTGCTGCAAACTGAAAGCTTCAGCGAGCGTCCAACCATACGACGAAGTCTCCAGCGAACGGCCCGACCCGCCCTAGCGACGCATCTGGGAGCGCGACGGCGAGGAGCTATATTTTTACAGAAGAGGGCTCGAGGAGCAGCGGGCCCAGGAGGCGGACCAGGAGGAGAAGTGCGTCTGTTTCTGCTCCTGAAGCGCGCGCGAAGGGAGGATTGCAGGAGGAAAGGGAGGCGAAGGAGGAGGCGAAGGAGGAGGAGGAGGAGGAGGAGGAGGAGGAGGAGGAGGAGAACGAGGAGTGCGAGGAGGAGGGAGGAGGAGGAAGAGGACGAGAAGGAGGAGGAGGAGGAGGAGGAGGAGAAGGAGGAGGAGAAGTAGGCGAAGGAGGAGGAGGAGGAGGAGGAGGAGAAGATGGAGGAGGAGGGGCAGACAGACCAGGAGTGCCATGGGCGTCGGGATGAAGAGAGGAGGCGGAGAAGGAGGGGCGCGGAGAAAGAGGGACCCGCACATGCCACGACGAGTGTACTGCCGCCGATGTTGCGGCCGCCACCTCCGCCCTCAGGGCGGCTCGGCGACGAGCGAGAACGCCTCAGGGCTAAGGCTGTGCGCTCCGAAACCCCCGATTGGGTAGGAGGGAAGGGAGGAGGAGGACGGAGAGGAGGAGGGAGGGGAGGAGAGGGGAGGAGGGAGGAGGGAGGAGGGAGGGGAGGGAGGAGGGAGGGAGGAGGGAGGAGAGGGAGGAGGGAGGGGGGGGAAGGAGGGGAGGAGGGAGGGGAGGAGGGAGGGGAGGGAGGAGGGAGGAGAGGGGAGGAGAAGGAGGAGGAGGAGGAGGAGGAGGAGGAGGAGGAGAGGAGGAGGAGGGGAGGAAGGAGGAGAGGAGGAGGAGGAGGAGGAGGAGGAAGGAGGGAGGAGGGAGGGGAGGGAAGCCCTCCTGGGATTGCTTGGACCTCGACTGCACGTAGGACATGTACCGTCGAGCACCTGATAGACCTCCTCCCGAAAAGCTGGGCCGGCGTTTTTGTACCGATGCTTGCCAGGAGGTCGGTCCGGTTGTTTGAGAACGTTCGCCTTTCCAGCGTTAACAACAGAAATTGGTCCATGCGTGTCTTGAGAAATTTCCGCAAAGATGGCCCAGGTTCCGGCTGGAGGAGGGAGGGGAGGGAGGAGGGAGAGGAGGGAGGAGGGAGGGGAGGAGGGAGGCGAGGGAGGAGGGAGGGGAGGGAGGAGGGAGGAGGGAGGAGGGAGGATGAGGAAGAGGAGGAGGAGGAGGAGGAGGAGAAGGAGGAGGAAGAGGAGGAGGAAGAGGATAATTGAGAAAGTGCTCCATGGGGCTCGTGGCCAAACCCCGCACGGCCTGCTGCGCGAACCGTTTCCTCCTCGAAGGGAGGCCCTGCCTACCATGCACGAGGCGTAGCCGGATCGCCTCCCCGAACACCGTAACGACTTGATCCATGTCCACCTCGTCGTATTCGAAGAAGAAAAAACTACATAAACGCAAACTATTGGCGCTCCGCGCGGATTTCTTGGATCCGCGCTGGGCCCCCTTGGCGGCGCGCGCTCCGCCAAAACTTTATATGTATGTGGTTGTTTCTTCTTCGACGTGTGTTGCTGCACGCCGAGTCCTCAGAATCGACCTCCTTCCCACCGAACTGCTTGAATTGCGGCACGGCGCACTCGCCAGATAAAATCTCCAACCCCTCCTTGCGGAGCGTCTTCATGTCGGGCGGCTCGGACGCTGCTGCGTTGCTCTCGCCCGCGATGTAGTATATATGCTTCTGACCTTCCTTCAGGCGTCCCACGTTTTACATCAGTTGGATCATCGTGCCCCCAGACTTCGAGGTGTAGAAGCGCAGATTCAGGATTTGCTTCGTTGTCAGTTTCTGATTACCCTTGCCACAGTCTGCGATTCCACTGGTTTCGAGCGAGCGCAGGGAAATTGCGGTTCTGTCGGGAACTTGTGTTCTTGGCCCTTCAAGCTCTCAGATAGCGCATTCTCGTTGAGCTTCATCTCGCCGTAGTCGAGTTCGCCCTTCTGTTCCCCGTTGCATGGCCTCGACCTTGTCGAAGCCGCCACTGCACAGGTTCCGCCGTCTAAGTTGAGCAAGCCCTCCTCCTTCATCACGAACGCCTGGCCGTGCAAGCTCTCGGACATCTCGATTAGCTGGCTAGAGAGTGTTAGCTCCTCCTCCTCTTCCTCCTCCTCCTCCTCATCCTCATCCTCCTCGGCGTACCCTGCTGTTCCGCCGCAGGCCCGCCCTTACTCGTTTTCTACAGGACGGATGATGGACGGTCTGCCTTCTCTTCTCGTCTCGTGTGATTGGCCGCCGTCCTCTTCTGGGTCAGTGTGCTCCTCCTCCTTCTGCTCGTCGTCCTCCTCCTCCTCCTTAATAACTGTCTGGCAACCCCGAGGAAGCAGCCTTGAGCCTGGGGCCGCCCCCTCACCTCCGAGTCCTGCTGCGAGCCCTCTCCTTCGGTGCCCCTCCCCTTCTGCGTGCCGCTCCGGAACGTGAAGGCGCGATGGCCATCCTGGACCTTCGCCACGCGGTCGAAAGAGTGCCGCAGAGCCTCCTCCGCGATGCCGCTGGAGTGAACCTCGGGCGCCCCCGCCCCCGCCGCAGAGCGCCCAGGCCGGAGGCGCCTCGGCCCCTTGGCCGGCTGGCGCGCCGCCGGCGTGCACCGGAGAGCGGCGCGGCGGCCCGCGGTGGGAGGGCCGCGGCCCGCCTGTGGCGGGGGCGGGCGGCGAGCCCCGCGAGACGGCCGCCAACGGGGGGGGGGGGGGCGCGAGCCGCCCGGGCCGCATCGCCAGGCGACGCAGTGAAGTCGCCCATATCGTTGGTTCTATGGGCATGCAGGGCGTCCACACCACACCCCCTTACACCACACCCCCTTCCATTTTCTAAAGCCTGCAAGGCAAGGATCGGCACTTGAAGCGGCACGTGGAGCACCGCCTTTCAGTTGGCCGCACCGGCAGCCTGGGCCCCAGCAGAATGCCCAGGCGACGCAATCGCACGCGCCGCCGTCAGCGAGGGGGCGAGAGCCCAACCGTGGGCCCCGCGTCGCTGCAGACGTGGATGCAAGGGATGATGATGATGATGATGATGATGATGATGATGATGATGACGATGATGATGATCATGATGATGATGATGATGATGATGATGATGACGATGATGATGATGATGTTGTTGATGATGATGATGATGCTGCTGATTATGATGATGATGATGATGATGACGACGATGCTGATGATGATGCTGATGGTCATCATGCTGATGAGGCGGAGGAGGAGGAGAGAGAGGTGTCGATCGGGGCGGCGCAGGCTAGTCGCACTACCGCGTCGTGGAGTGGGCGCCACCTGGTCGCCGCCGTCTCGGGGGAGCTCAGGGTGTGCGGCCGCGCGACAGACTGTGCTTGCTGTTCGAGGAGGAGGAGGAGGAGGAGGAGGAGGAGGAAGAGGAGGAGCAGGAGCTCTCCGTAGGAGGAAGCGAAATATGTGTTCCAATGGCGGGAATTGTATCTGGCGTGGGCCCCCAAGAACCCAAGGCCCCCCAAGACCGGTCCCTCATCCCAGTCATACTTCCCCAGGCCCTACGAAAACTTGATCTTGGATGCCGAAATCGATGACAGAGTGCCCGTCGCCGTCTTGCGTCGCGTCGTCCTTCGGCGGCAAGTTTTGCTTCCGCCCCAAGCCGTGACCTCCAAGGGTGGAGGCCAACGAAAGCCGTTCCAAAAACGTTTCTGCCCCGGGCCCTCACATCCACAAGCGGAGGCCAACAAAAACCGGTCTAAAAACGTAGTCTCCGCCGCCCGCGTCCTGATTGACCTCCAGGGGTGAAATCCGCTCCGAAAGCGTTTCCTCCCCGGACCCTGGTTTCCAGGGGTGGGGGCCAACAGAAGTCGGTCCGAAAATGTTTCCGCCCCCGGGCCTCGACCTCCAAAGGAAGAAACCCACATAAACCATGCCAAGCACGACCCGACGTCTTCCTCCTCGATCCTTGGGCGAAACTTCGGAGGAAGAGGGGGGGGAGGACGAGGAAGAGGAGAGGGAGGAGGAGGAGGAGGAAGACGAGGAGGAGGGAGGAGGAGGAGGAGGAGAAGGACGAGGACGACGCGGAGGAGGGGGGGGACCGGAAGGAGGAGGAGGAAGAAAAGCAGGAGGAGGAGGAGGCGGAGCAGGAGGAGGAGTAGGAGGAGGAGAGAAGCAAGGAAGAAGGGTTAGGAGTAGGAGTCGGAGGAGTGGGAGGTGGAGTAGGAGTAGGAGTGGGAGTAGGAGTAGGAAGGTGGAGTAGGAAGGAGGAGCAGGAGGAGGAGGACGACGACGACGGCGGCGGTGTCGACAGCGACGACGGCGGCAAGAGCCGTGTGCGCGCAGAGAGTGCGAGCCCGGCGGCCCGCCCCTGCCTTCAGGATGCTTAACGAGAAGCTCGCCGACCAAGGCGCGTCCCCCTGGCTTCGAGCAGGAGATCGATTGCAGAACTGATGTACCCCAAGTCGGCTTTTCCGTAGAACTGGCATACAGGAGCAAGTTGCTTGGCGAAGGGCCCAGCCACATTCAGATGCAAGCGTCGCAGGGCAGGTGGAGTGGAGGAGGGGTGCCACCAGTCTCTTTGCCAGCTTTTTCCCCCGCCGTTGTTTCCGTTGTGCGTTGCGTTCATGCCCGCCTGGCGCCACGAATCGTGGGGGTTTGCCGAATCGGGCGCGGATGCGCCATGCGGACCCTGCCGTTCGGGCCTTCGTGGAACCGCTTAAATGACTACGTGTTGGGTGTGCCGAATCGGGTGCGGGTACGCCATGCGGACCCTACCGTTGGGGTCTCCAGTGGAGCTTCTTATGGGGTGACGAAGTTCCGAATCGGGTGAGGGTGCGCACTGCGGACCCTGCCGCTTGGGCCTCCGGTGGAGCTCCATATGGGGCAACGAAGCCCGTGAGAGGTGTGCCGAATCGGGCTTTGGTGCGCCATGCGAATCCTGCTGCTGGGGCGTCCGCTGGACCTCCTCATGTGCCACGAAACGTGCGAAGGGTGTGTCGAATCGGGTGCGCGTGCGCCTTGCGGACCCTGCCGCTGAGGCCTCCGCTGGAGTTCCCTGACTGGCCACAAATCGTGTGAGGGGTGTGCCGAACCAGGTGCTGAAAAGGCCATGTGGGCCCTGCCGTTGGGGCCTTCGGTGGAGCCCGTTTTACGGGGCAACGAAACGTGAAAAAACTGCCGAATCGGGTGCGGGTACGCCATGCGGACGTTGCCGCTGGGGCCTTCGGAGGAGTCCCCTACAGGGCCACGGAACGTGTGGGGTGTGCCGAATCGGGTGGGGCTACGAAACGTGCGAGGGGCGTGCCGAATCGGGTGCGGGTACGCCTTGCGGACCCTGTCGCTGGGGCATTCGGCGGAACTCCATAAGTGGACACGAGGCGCGTGTGGGGTGTGCCGAATGGGGCGTTCGTGCGCCATGCTGGCCCTGCCGTCGGGGCTTTCGGTGGAGATTATTTAATCGCTTCGCTCATGCCGCCGGCCCTGGAGCCCTCTTTAGGGCCTCTTGGGGGCCTCTTGGGGACCTCTTGGGAGTCTCTTGGGGCTCCTTGGCGGCGTATTGGAGGCCCCCAGGGCCTCGTGGGGGGCTCTTGGGGGTAGTCGATTGCGGCTCCCCCCTCGGAGGCCACGATCCTCGTGAGGGGTGTCGAAAAATACCCTCCCCTGGAGTGGTCTGGTGGCTTCTCTCGGGACCTTGCCGGGGTACTTTTCGTCCGGGGGCCCCCAGGGGCCGCTTCGCGCGCGCGAACTAGAAATATTGTTAACAAGTTACCGGAGATCTTTGCACGCCTCTGGCCCGTTGGGCCGGCGAATTATGGGGTCACGAAGCGTGCGAGGGGTGTGCCGAATCGGGTGTTGGTACGCCATGCGGACCCTGCCGCTAGAACCTTCGGTGGAACTCCCCGTGGGGCCACGACGAGCGCGAGGGGTGTGCCGAATCGGGTGCGGGTAGGGAATGCGGACCGTGCCGATGGGGCCTTCGGAGGAGTCCCCTACAGGGCCACGGAACGTGTGGGGTGTGCCGAATCGGGTGGGGCTACGAAACGTGCGAGGGGCGTGCCGAATCGGGTGCGGGTACGCCTTGCGGACCCTGTCGCTGGGGCATTCGGCGGAACTCCATAAGTGGACACGAGGCGCGTGTGGGGTGTGCCGAATGGGGCGTTCGTGCGCCATGCTGGCCCTGCCGTCGGGGCCTTCGGTTGATTTCCCTATGGGGCCACGAAGCGTATGAGTGGTGTGCCGAAACAAAGACAGGTGGAGGGCAGAGGCGGGGATGGGAGGAGGGCAGAGGCAGAGGAGGGAGCGGGAGGAGGGGGAAGGAGGAGGAGGAGGGACGCGGGGCGTTGCCTCTTCAGAACGAGGGCCCGACACCACAGAATGGTTGGGAGCTCTGGGGTAGATCAGTATTGCAATCGATCCCCTACTCGATGGCTGCGCACTCCCTCCTTTCTCCCTGGCGCCTGGTGAGCTCGGAGGCGCCGCCGCCCCCGCCTGGCGGCGATGACGCCTCCAGCTCCCCGGGCGCCATGCGGCGGCGGCAGCTGGTGCCGCCGCTGGCGGTGCCGCTGGCGCCGCCGCCGCCGCCGCCGCCGTCGACGTTGCCGCCGCCGCCGTCGCCGCAGCCGCCGCCGGCGACGACGACGATCGGGTTTGCCCGAGGATCGACGACAAAGAAGGATTTCGAGGATCGAGGGTGTTCGGCGTCGTCCTCGAACCTCGCGTCTGGAGCCTCATCCTCCTTGTGCTCCTCTTCTTTACCGCCCGAGGAGACGAGAGGTGAAGGACGTGGGGGTCTTCACTGGCTTCACAAGTTTGTTTATGGTTTCCGTGCTTTCGTCGGTCTTCCGAGTTTGCCCAAAAAGGTCCGAAAGATGCTCGGTGATTCCAGTAGTCTTGCAAGGGTTTCAAAATGTTCCCGAACGCTCGCGGAGTTTTGTCGAGCCGTTTTCCCTTCGATGCGCTCCAGACGTGCCATGCACCCCGGAGGATCGGGGAGCCAGGTGTGCGGCCGCGCCTGGCGTCGCAGAGCTGGCGCGCGCCCCACTGCTAATTAGCGAGGCAGGTGCGAGGCAGTCTCTCTATCCATAGATCCTCTGGTGCGGTTCTCTGTGGAGCGCGACTGGCTCTTTGCAACAGCGGCGCTTTGTAGCGCGCGTGGTTCGCCTCATCCCGTGCGCGCCGCTTCGCAGCCAGTGGATTGAACGCTGGGGGGAGAAAAAACGCATAGGAACTGGAGGGACGGCCTTACCTAGGCCTGCCCCTAGGCCCCTCCCTTGGCCTACCCCCGGCCTACCCCCAGGCCCTTCCTCTAGGCCTTCCCTGGGTCCTTCCCCTAGGCCCTTCCCCAAGGCCTTCCCTGAGCCCTTCCCCTAGGCCCTTCCCGTAGGCCTTCCTTAGGCCTACCCCTAAACCCTTCCCCTAGGCCCTTCTCCTAGGCCTTCCCTAGGCCTACCCTTCGGCCCTTCCCCTAGGCCTTCCCTACGTCTACCTCTGGGCCCTTCCCCTAGGCCCTTCCCCTAGGCCTACCGCTAGGCCTTTCCCTTAGGACCTTCCCCTAGGCCTTCCCCTGGGTCTTCCATAAGGGGAAGGGCCGACCGCCCGACCCGACCCGCCCGTTAGGGTCCGCCCGACCCGACCCGAGCCGCACGTTCGGGTCCGCTCGCCCAACCCGATCCGCCCGTTAGGGTTCACGCGTGCTCGCTCGTGTACGCCCCGCACTTGAATATCCTGCCCGCCCGGCCCCACCCGCCCGTTAGGGTCCGCCCGACCCGACCCGACCCGCCCGTTAGGGTCTGCCCGCCCGGCCCGACCCGCCCGCTAGGGTTTACGCGTGCTCGCTCGTGTACGCCTCGCACGTCAAAGGTTCGCCCGCCCGACCCGAGCCGCCCGATAGGGTCCGCCTGCCCGACCCGACCCGCCCGTTAGGGTTCGCGCGTTCTCGATCGTGTACGCCCCGCACTTAAATGTCCCGCCCGCCCGACCCGATCCGCCCGTTAGGGTCCGCCCGCCCGACCCGAGCCTTCCGATAGGGTCCGCCCACCCGACCCGACCGGCTCGTTTGGGCTTCACGCGTTCTCGCTCGTGTACGCCCCGCACTTAAATGTCCCGCCCGCCCGACCCGAGCCGCCCGTTAGGGTACGCCCGCCCGACCCGACCCGCCCGTTAGGGTCCGCCCGCCCGACCCGACCCGCCCGCCAGGGTTCACGCGTTCTCGCTTGCGTACGCCCCGCACTTACATGCCTCGCCCGCCCGACCCGCACCGCCTGTAGGGTCCGCCCGCCCGACCCGACCCGCCCGTTAGGGTCTGCCCGCCCGGCCCAGCCCGACTTGCCCGATAGGGTTCACGTGTGTTGATTCGAGCACGCACTGCACTTTAGTGTCCCGCCCGCCCGACCCGACCCGCCTGTCAGGGTCCGCCCGCCCGACCCGACCCGACTCGCCCTTAGGCCCTTCCTGTAGGCCTACCCTATAAGTTTTCCCTTAGGCCTTCCCTTAGACCTACCCTGGGCCTTCCCCTAGGCCCTTTGCCTAGGCATACCCTACGCCTATGCCCTACGCGTAAGTCAAACTTGTCCGTGCGGTCTGGAGTAGGCCCTACTCAAGGACCCTAGGGCTTTGGGTAGACCCTACCCTAGGCTACCCTTAGGGCCTCGGGTATGCCCTGATCGAGTAAGGGATCGACTAGAGAACTGATTTGTCCCAAACTTTCTTTCCACGTCGAAGTTACGAGAAAGACTTAACATTCTCCGTTGCTCGAATTACGGAACAGCTGGGGTACATCGAGTATGTAGTCGATCCCTTGCTCGATGCGAGGCGTGGCCAGAAGATGCCCAAAGATGGGCCCAAATGGCCCCAGGAGGGCCCCCCAAATGCACCGCCCAGGAGGGCGCAGAGGGGCAGAAGTTCGCTCCTGGATGGCGCCGCGAAGACCCTAAGATGGCCCCAGGAGCCCACGGCGGGCTCCACGGCGGCCGGGGGCGGGAGCCCCGCCTGTGCCTCTCCCTCGCCCGCCCGGCGCAGCACGCGCAGGCTGCTGCCGGGCGCTGCGGGGTTCTTGCCCTGCGGCGGTCGATGCTGAGCGCGCATCGTCAAAACATACAAGGGACACGAGCGCGCGGACGCACACACACACACACACACACACACAAACACATACACACACACACACACACACACACACACACACACACACGCACGCACGCACGCACGCACGCACGCACGCACGCACGCACGCACGCACGCACGCACGCACGCACGCACGCACGCACGCACGCACGCACACACACACACACACACACACACGCACGCACGCACGCACGCACACACACGCACACACACACACACACACACACACACACACACACACACACACACACACACACACACACACACACACACACACACACACAC